CTGAACTTCATCAGGGTTCAAAGAAATTATTATATTACTACGATAAGTAGAATAAAGACTAAGAAAATCTTTCGATGAAATAACGTGAAGCAAATGCAGGTTCAATTAAATAAACAACACGAGGAATAAACACACAACCTAAGACTAAAATATGCCCAGAGCAAAGCTGAATAAATAGCAATATAAATATAAGAAAAATGACTCGGAATATAAACTAGAGAAAAGCTAGTAACTAAAGAGTATAGAAAAGATAATATAAATGTCTTTTGGCAAAATCCCTCAACTTTGCCAAAAGGTATACTCTCTTATTAAATAATAAAAGCGGTAAAATGATATGCTAGCACAAGCTAAATCTTAAGTTTTAGATGTGAGAATAATAGAATAGACAAATTAGAAGTAATGACCTCTGATCTTCTTTTCATACTGTCTAACACGATTATCCTCTTTCCTTTTAGCTCGCCTTTCCCGTTCGCTTTCAATAGCGTCTTCGCTGCCCCAAACATCGAGCGCCCGCTGAGCAATCTGAAATAAAATGAATGTAAATACAAACAGAATAGCCTCCTACATCTAGGATAAGACATTTAGATCTAAACTTGTGCTTCCAAATAGAGCCGCATGTCACCCCAAGAAGAAGTATGTGGATTACGCTTCAATAAAAAGCGAAGCTTCGGCTCTCGAAGATCTAAATCTACATCGTTTAGTAAATAGCGCTCTTTGGCGGTAGTTCTTGCTATCAAGGAATGCAGGTCATCAGGATCTCTGGAAATTACAAGGTGAAATATAATTTAAGGGGAAAAGTTTTTTAATTAGCGTTATATAACCCGTTTACATCAAAATAACAAGTGCATTTACAATATGTAATAAGCAAAAATGCATTACTTAAGAGTGAATTAAGTTTCAGGGTTTTCTAGTCTTAATTAAAATAAAAAGTACAATAAATTGAAAAGCTTCTAACTTCTTTGCAAATACTTATAATCTAATATTTTGTTTTGATTCGGGTTATTACA